CCCTTGTCTATCCCTTCTCGCTCCCTCCCTCCCCTTTCTTCCCTCTCGCTCCCTCCCTCCCCCTTTTGTCCTATCCCTTCTCGCTCCCTCCCCCCTCCTGTCTATCCCTCTCGCCTTCCCTCCCTCCCCTTGATCGCGAGGTGATTGTTTGTCTATCCACTCTCGCCTCCCTCCTCCCCTTTTGTTATCCCTCTCGCTCCCTCCCTCCCCTTACGTCTTATCCCTCTCTCTCCCTACCCTCCTCCTTTGTCTATCCCTCTCGCTCCTCCCTCCCCCTTGTCTATCCTCTTTCGCTCACCTCCCTCCCCTTGTCTATCCCTCTCGTCGTCCTGTCTTCGCAACATGAGGGGGTAGTGTGAGTCGTATCGCGCTCGAGGGGTCGGTGCTGCGCGCTCCCTCCCGCCATGTTCGGTATCCCTCGTCGTCCTCCGGCGTTCCCTCTTGAGACGTCTATCCCCTGCGAAGGAACTCTCGTCCCTCCCCCTTGTCATATCCCTCTATCGCGCTCCCTCCCTCCCCTATGTGTTCGTATGCCCTCTCCGCTCCCTCCCTCCCCGCTTGTTCTATCCCTCTCGCTGCCCTCCCTTCCCCGCGACTTTCTATCCCTCTCGCTCCTCCCGTGCTCCCTGATGGAGATTTGAAATTATTGTGTGGCGTAGTCCTCTCGGCTGCGCTCTCCCGTGCGCCAGGCGAGTGATCTATCCTCTCGCTTCCCTGCCCTTCTTCTGTCCGCCGCTGATAGACACAGCGTAGGAAGTAAAAGGAAGTTGGGAAGAAGGATCCAACTCTATCCTCTCGCTCCCTCCCTCCCCCTTCTCTATCCTCTCCGTCTCCCGTCCTCCCCCCTTCTCTAATTTACCCTCTCGCTCCCTCTTCCTCCCTTTCTTCTAGTCTAACCCTCATCGCTCCTTCCCCGCCCCTCGTGCTTAACCTCTCTCGCTTCGCCTTCCCCCCCCTTGTCTATCCCTCTCGCTCCCTCCCCCCCCCTTCTGCGTAACCCTCTCGCTCTCCTCCTCCTTCCGGTTTCCTCTAACCCTTCTTCGCTCCCTTCCCTCCCGCTTCTTACATAACCACACATCTCGCCCCTCCCTCAGAAGACCCGCTTACTCATAAGGCGGGCCTTGCTCAAAGCTTCCTCAGCACTCCCCAATAAGGGTCTCTACACCTACTCGCTCAAGCCTCCTCCTCTCTACTCCTCTTGCTCCCTCCCCTCCCCCTAGGTGTCGAATATCCCTCTCGCTCCCTCCCATCCCCTTGTCTTTATGTCCCTCAGGTACGCTCGCCTCCCTCCCCCTTGTGCATATCCCTCTCGCTGCGAGACACATACGCCTCGCCCCTAGGGTGGATCCAATGAGTCGGTCGTCAGCTCCCTCCCCTTTCCCCTTCGTCCTTATCTCCCTCTCGCTCCCTCCTTCGCCCCTTGTAGGATCGTGATCCCTCTCGCTCCCTCCCTCCCCCTTGGTCTATCCCGGTCTCAGACACACATCCCCTCCCTCCCCTAATAGGTCTAATCCACTACTCGGCCGTCGCGCGTCCCTTGCCCTCCACGGATTTGGAAAGGAAAGAAAGATAGGTGCTCATAGTCCGACTCCTGCGCTCCCTCCCTCGCGCCCTATGTGATCGATATGCGCTCTCCGCGCCTCACACTGCTGAGGCCATATCCACGCCTTCCTGATGAGCGGGTAGGTGATTGGTTGATCTATCCCTCTCGCTCCCTCCCTCCCCCTTGTCTATCCCTCTCTCTCCCTCCCTCCCCTCTGTGTTCTTCCATGCATACTGACTTTTAGGGAATGTCTGTACATCATGCTGTGTGCTAGGTCAACCTGCCTGTCTCGACCTCTGAGTCCGGCTCTCGCTGCTCCTGACCGTCTGCTCCCTCTGTGCCGGCTCACATCACCACTGCTGCCGGTTCAGGTGGTGGCTATCCCATTTCGACTCCGCTCCCTCCCCCCTTCTCTATCCCTCTCGCTCCCTCCCTCTCCCTTCATGCACAACAAATAATCATAGAAATGACTAATGCATTTCCATTTGACTTTCTTCCTATGCTCTCTTTTTTCATTTTTTTCAGGGTTCTCTTCCACTGGTTCTTATGTTTGATCTAATGCCAGATCACTTTGTGGACTCGAGTGAAGTCGCACAAATTATGCAGACACTTGATGTTCATATTATCATCAAGAACAAGAGATCAGATGGTAGACGCCCTGTTATTATCAAGGGAGCAGAGAAGAATGCAGGTAAAGAACTTGACTGAAGATTAGTTTATACTTCCTGTGTAAACACACCGTATACAGACTCTGTCTCAGAAGCACACATACACCATTATTCATGCACTCCATCCCACTTTCACATAGCTTCCATTTTCAAAAGTCCAGTTCCCTTCTTGTCTTGCAATATTTTGGATAAGAGATAATTGTAAGAGTTGAACAAATTATCAAGTGGAATGATGAACTTGGAAATTTATTTTCTTGGAAGTATAGAATCAGGTGTTGAGTTTGTTAGTTTACATTTATGTTAAGGTAAAGGTATTTTCATACAGGTTGAAAGAAAGTGAAAGATCAATGTCATATTAATGTTATGATTGCATTTCTTCATGACCATTTTCAGTTCTCATGAACCCCAAAGGGATGGTCAATTTCAAGATGGCAGATTTTTTGTTCTTCTCCCTTTGGTACTTGCTGTGGCTTAAAGCATTTAAATTTTGATATTTCCAAATTGGTCATCCTTACTCTTTAGAAGGGACAATTTTTGCTTTGCCCAACATGCACACCTACCTGAGAATAGTAGTTACCCCTTTTTTCCTTTAGAGGTTTTACAAAATGATTTGTCAAGACTTCACTAAACCTTTTGTATGTAGGTATAGGTACTGGCCTCTGTTGTGTATTATAACACTGATATCAGTAAGATATTTTTTAATTTATCTGAAAGTTGGGGAAAAGGGTATAGAGTTGAGATAGTTAGGACTGGCAATTTACTCCTTGTTGACTTTGATACTTGTGAAGCTATATATATGTATAAACACAATCCATAACTAAAGTAGACATGGCACACATGTCATGCCATCCCAGCACAAAGGCATGTATCAAAATTAGAACAATACGAAAGAGGGTATTTTCTTTTTTTTTTCCATTTGATATGATATTTGACATGGTAAGTTCAAGTCAATTTTTGACATTTCAGGTAACATATATGAAGCATGGCGTTTGTTGTCGCAGTTGGAAAAGGCACCACCAAAAGCAAGAATACCTCCAAATTACCATATATCGGAAGCAGCACCACTGTATGGGCTTAGCAGTAAGTCTTCAATGAATTAACCCTTAAGAGTGCAGATGCTATAGTATTCTTCCCGAAGAGTGTTAGAATGATACCTCTCTGAATTTTTCCTAAATTTGCAATATTTCTGCTACCTAGAATTTTTTATTCATACAATTTGTAGGATCATAAACAAGTAAATGAAATGTAAATTATGCATTTTCAAAACCAGAGCTACCCTTTTTTCTGAAAGTCAAGTGAATGTTCCGAAATCCAAAAATCATTCTCAACGAAAGTAGACAGTTTCGTAAGGGATGAAAGATAACTGGCAGTCTATTATAGCTTTTTAAGGAACTGAAGTATTTTGATTGATATAATTGCATCTGATTCTGTAATATAACCTGTTCTCATCTGTACTTTGTACCAGAAATGTAATTGACACCAATTTTCTTTTTCCTTTGCACTTTCAGTATTTGTATATTTGTATATTAATCTTGTAAATAAATGTATGTATGTATATACAGTGTTTATTAATGTCTTTGTATATTCATATATATGTATGTATATAGTTATGTCTATATGCATTATAAATGTTTGTGTATAGGCATTCAGATGCACTCCCACTTTCACACTATATAATGTATTTGTGTAACTTGAGACCCTTTTTTGAAATGATGGAGCACATGATACCCCTTCAGCAGATCTGAACCTGAGCTGCTGGCTGGGTGGCGGCAGTGGAGGGTCATCCCCCCTGCCCTCCCCAACTGCCACGCCTGGCCCCCAGGGACTACCCAACCCTATCTGGAATCAGGCCCCAGCCACCAACAGCACTTTGCCTGCGCACTTGGCTAGATCTCAGTACAATACATTCATGTTTGATCCAAGTAAGTATAGAATGGAAAATGTGATTATAGTTTTGCATTTGTGTATAATCATGTATTTCTCAAACACTTTTCCATCTGAGTCTCCCACATTCTTATTCTTTTACTCTCATTTATGCTCATGAAAACATGCACATCAAATACACAAAATTAACTGAGTCATACATTTGCTTAGTCCTCAGATCAGGCTACCATTTTTTTCTTCTGAAATTTGCAAACCATATATATTTATCAAATTCCAACAGGTAATTATTATGCTGCCAACTTGCTGCTTCGCACTGGTGGAATTAATGGATGTAACAACAACTGTATCTTGCCAAACTCTTCACAAGGTGTTGGTGCCAAAACTGGATTGAATATCAATGCAGTTAGCAATGGAATCAGTGGGTTAAAAATAGCTTGCAATGGTAAGGATTTTGTATCAGTATGTAGTGGTATGTAGGTACACATTGAACCTACCTACAGTCCTTTTTGTGGACTCAATCTAAAAGAATGGAAGGAAAAATTAGAGCAATTATTCTTAAAAAGATTGGATTAGATTCATGTGTTATCAAGGAATATATATGATTAAATTTGAATGGGATTCAATTTCAGTCTAGTGCAGAGTTTTTCAATACGTTTTAGTCCTTGCAAGACAAATTGTGCCAGAGTCCATAGAATAGACCATGGTATTCACTGCTCTGCTAGCTTGGTGGTTTGGGACAGCAGTATCATTCTTTGGTCATTGGTTTGTTACTGCTGCTGAGCACAGGGTAACACCTACACAGGCTTGTGTAATACAGCTTACTAGAAATGGTTGATTTTTATGTTATATTACTGATATTTTACTGCAAGATAAACCAGAAACCCTAGCGAGAACTGCAAGTGCTATTAACTTTAGACACAGCTCTTGGGTTTTTGTCCCTTTTGCTCTTCATTAGTTCATTATTTGCTTATCAGGCATATTGATGTGAACATATAATTTTGTATGTACACACACACGCACGCACGCATGCATGCAGGCGCATGCACGCACGCACGCACGCACGCAGGCGTACACGCACACGCACACACATACAACATACATACATACATACATACATTAACCCAATGCTGCCGGGTAAAAATGTTTGGCAAGTGGACGTAACAGGATTGTTGGTGTGCATCGGCAGTTGCCCATTTGCGCCCAGCTCATCAGTAGTTTGTGAGCGACATTTGGCACATAAAAGCTTTTATTTTGCTATAATTTATAAAAATATAAATTTGAAGGTTTACCTTCATTATAGGTGTTATTGCCTAAAATCTTTACCATATAAATGAAGCCGCTACTATTGGAGAAAAACAAACTCCGTCCAGTGAGCCAATTGTGCAGGAATGGTCATAAACATATGAATTTGATAGAACATTAATATGCATATGAAATTGACTGAAAATTCATGGCACAATTATGCAGGGTCCCGCTAAAAGGTATTCCCTCCCCCCTCCCCTTTTATCTGAGATTAGGGGTCCCAGTAAATCAATTGGTAAAAAAAAATTCAAGATGTGTTTGAGGGATATAGAAGGTGGCTCCGTCTGAGGGTGAAAAGCCCACAAAGTTATAATCTGGCTCTGTATATAATTGAAGGAAATGTGTTAAAAAATGGTTGGTATAGACCTTAATCACATCTTATTGTATACTATTGACTTTTGTATTTAAAAAATAAACAAAATCAAGTCAAATAAAAACAGATTAACACATTGTTTTGCAGATGCTTCATGTGGTACAAGCAGCAACAGTGGGAGTTCATTGTCGTCACCAACTCCTTCTCCACGCAACCCATCACCAGAGCAGATGGTTTCCTGCCACATGGGTACCCCTTCACAGCAAACCAATTGTAATGAAGCAGAGCAACCTTCTTCCAGTGATATAAATGGTAATTTCCTTGAAGTATGAGAGGAAATACAATTGGAGATTTGGCAATTCAAAAAGTATTTCTTGAAAAATAAGTTTAAAGATTTTAGTGTGATTTGCTCTTATTCTAGCTATTTCTGCATTACTGACTGACCTTGATCGCCGTGCTCCAGGATGTGAGAAAAAGCAAATTGAAATGGCAGCACAGAAATTGACCTTGTCAGATTACAGCTCAAAGAAAGTACAGGCTGCTAAAGGTATATTGTTCATGATGAATAATTTTTGTTATTAATTTGATAAATGTGAGGACTGATATCAATGTTTATAAAATTTGTCAGATGATTTTAGAGGTGTGGTAAGTCTTGTCACAGTAACTACATCTATAGTGATGACAATTTTATTCAGTAAATTGAAGGACTATGAAAGTACTTTTTTCTTTAGTAACTGTTAAAGTGTGTGATACTTAAGAACATCTCATTCTTACTTTTTCAGCAATGAAGGAACAAGTCAGCTCAAACCCCCGTACTCCAACCTCAAATTGGTCAGGGTATGGCTTTAGTAAGAGTCTCCCAGGCTACATCATACGGCAGAAAATGCAAGAAAGCCGTCAGATGAAAGCAGCACATGTAAGACGATATGCAAGTTGTACTGAATGTAAAGTGTTTTAATATGCCGATGAACGGGACTTTACCTAAACTGCACATCATATAATGAAAGTGGTTTCACGTTTGCATTTTTTAATTTATATTTTGCCTATGTACAGATATTTGTATTGGCATATGTTCATGTATGTAGAGAAATGGGTGAAAGCTATTCTTGAAAGGATTTGAACTCCCAAATGAGGCAAATTTCAGGCCATGTCAGTGTATTTCCAAATCTGAATATAATGATCTCTTGGATTATTATATAGATGTAATGTGATGTATTAAGCCAATGCCAATGGAAGAATGTTTCATTCACTTTAGTATTTTTTCTTAAATGTTTCTATGCATAGATAGCTCTGCCAATGCTTAACCACAAAGAAATCAATTAGTAGATCTTGTGACCTCTCCTTTCCTTGAAATAGCGGGAAAATGCTTTTTTTACTAATGTCATCACTATCAACACTTACTGTTATGAACTTTATAATTACTATATTATTATTGACATAACTAACAGCAGTATTTAATACTAGAAAATATTATCAAAAGTCAAGAAAAATGTAAACAGGTGAGACAGGTAGTTTTCGTAATTGGCTCTTTGTGGAGCCATCTATATGTAAAAACCTAAATCAAACACACACAGTAGACATAGCATTTACGCACATGCCATCCCTGGCGGCATTTGGTTCATTCATATGGTTTAAATATGGATATAGGTATTTGTAGATCTGTAAATTTCTCCCATCACTATTCAATCTACCAGTATCAGCTTTTCTTTTCTTTTCTTTCTCGGCTTTTAGAGCTATCTAAAATGTTTCAAATGAGAGCAACCTCCTTAAAAGGCTTTCTTATTGACAGATGGTATATCACTTTATTATTAGTAATGAGACACATTTATAATACTCAGAAGGGAACCTCAAATGATGATTGGGAATCTTGGCATCAGCAGCAAGACGTTACGACAACCGAAATGCCACCACCTCAAAATCTTCAAAACATCCAGTATCCAAGTAGAATGCCAAAGGTATGAATTTGAATGTTTTGTCATGGCTGTAAGTAATATCTAAGGCTAAAGAAAACTGCAATTATATGTTTGTGTATATGCATGGTATATAGGATTTGTCATTCTCTAATGAGATGTTTATATGTATATAAAGAAGAACCAAATTCTTTATTTTAGAATGCAGTATAATCCAGAACATACTAAACAAAACTTTTTAATATCAATTTTAGGTGGATTTAAGTAGCAGTATTGACCACATATCAGCACACAGATCTCCAGTCACACTCTCTGCTAGTAACTATATGGATTGTGTTCTGCCGAGGCCACGTGAGGCTCGGTCTCCTACAGCTATACAAAATATCACTTCTGTGCTTTGTGATGTCCAGTTGGAGCAGTATATTGGTCAGTTCATGATTTTGAAGCAAGTAATACTCAATATTTTTGCATATACTGTAATTATTTGTGCACTCACATGTATGTAATTGTGTTCAATAACTCTTTTTCCTTCTCAGATGTATTTGCGGCCCAAGATGTTGATCTTCCGATGTTCTTGACTCTTGATGACGCTGACCTCAAGGAGCTAGGAATAAAGATATTTGGACATCGCAAGAAAATTCTTATGGCAATTAAAGGTTTGTGTTCTTTGTTCTTATTACCTTGGGACCCATCTAGCAGGAAAAAATGGCTTGCAGTATGAGAGAATGGTTTCTTCTCAGTATTTCCTCCAAAACTTAATGTTCTTGTTTTAGAGATTGCCCAACTTGTTTGGGTCTTGTTGTTCTTGGGTTTCATTGTAAAGCACTTGTCGATCTCCCCATGATGGGATTACCAATTTAAAGCGTTTTTTAGTTTTCCTGAGTTGAGAACCAAAAAGGGGCCTTCTTTTAACATTAGGGTTTCCTCTCAAAACAATTGTTCCCTTGAGCTTGTGGATTTGCGCTTATTCTTTCATTGCGATTTTTCTTGGAAAGGGGGGAAACCATTTATGGAAGAACAGTAAGCAAGAATAGCATCGCCATAACAATGGGGTTGGGGGGATTGTCCATTCTTCTTCAATAAACCTTTTTTTGCCCCCACTTTCTTATTTTAATTGTACTGGTAAATAAGGAAATTCAAAATAATTAAGGGATTACCCTTAAAATTTTGCGCTAACCCAAGGTATTTTAAAGGAAATGGTTTTTGCCGCATATCTCGGAACTTACCCTTCTTCACCCTCGAAGCCACCAAAGAACTTTTTTCAGTTGATGTACTTTGCATTTAAACCATACCTTACGGGAACCTATTATACATGTATACTTGGACATCTATCTGGATATTCCCAAAGATTAGAATGCCTTTATCTTTGTAGATCAGATTTAATGTTTGCATTTGGTCAAGATTTATCTTCAAGAAAGCCTCTTTCT